TAAATTTTAATTATATATAATAAATATGTATGTGCAATATACAAACTAAAATATTAGTTAATAAAGCATATCAAAGTTTTGTTAACATAACTTTGTTCCATGTATTTTTTTTTGGCCTTGATTGTGTGAGGTTTGAGTTTTAAAAAGTTTTCCAATAAAAAATTTGGGTAAAGTTTAGATAATAATGGACCCAACTCATGCTCACTGTTAGATTAAGGTATGATAAAAGTCAACCACCAAATTAACTATAGTTCAAGCCCACAGATCCTATGTCTTAGCCTGTAAAAGTAGAGGAATTTAACTAATTATATTACTCTTGTAGAGTTTGTTGACGGGTATTTAAAAAATTTACTAGTGAAAATATTTTTTTAAAAAATAAAAGTTTATTTACCAATATGTAATTTTTTAAAGAAGGACGTGCACAAATAAAAAAAATGTAACAAATGTCAAATATAATTGATTTTAGATTAAATTACATTTTTATTCCTTTTATTTTGTGAATCTGTAATTTTAGTTTTTCTATTTTAAAATATAAATATTTAGTCTCACTGTTTTTTAAAATATAAAATTTCGATCTTACAGTCAAATTTTAAAACAAAGATGTTTAACCTCCCCATTTGATATTTGTTAACCTTTAAATTTTAATATTATTCAATTATCTAACACCATTTAAGAGACATAACATATAAAGATTATAAAAAAAAAGTAAAAATAGCATACAATTTTTTTATTATGTATATTTCAACGAGTGTTTGATATTTATTTTATTAATAAATATTATTTAATTTCTTAGTTTTTTTTAACCTCTTGATGTCATATTTTTTTTTTAATAAGAGCATGTAATTATAATAATTTTTCTTATTTATATTTTTTTAGACAATTTTATCTTTAAGTCTTTAAATTTATATTCATATGTAAGAAGGATAGATTAGTTTATAATCATTTTTCATCTTCATATTCTTTAGATGATTTCACTTTTAAATCTCTAAATAATAAAAAAATAATATTAAAAATTAATCATTTGTATAATCATTGAAATCCTCAAATTCTTAACTATCTTTATTACTTAACCTTAATTTTTATTTTATTTTCAAATAAAATCTAGAGATACGGTGAACCTAATAGTGACTATAAAGAAAATGTCAAACAAAAAGAAAAAAATTGTTAAACAAAGAATGTAATGCATTTTGCATAATTAGAATTTAAATGTCAAATAAAAAGGAAAAAAATGCTGAACAAAGAATGCAATGCATTTTGCATAATTTAAATTTACATATTTTTATAGTATGTTTTTATAACTTTATCAAAGAATATAATTTTAAGGCGAGACTTAGACTATAATTTTATAAAATAGACTCGACCCGAATATTCAAAATCTAATATAACCTATTTTTTTTCCTACTTATCACCATGAAGATTCACCATTAACTAGAACAATTAACAAATAGTTATAGGATCTGCAACATTTTGTATCATTAAGAATAGGATAAATACTTTAATCTATAATTTGTTATCTAAATCTTCAATCTATATTTCAAAATCCTTACGACAAATAATTTGTGATCATGATAAGGGGGAGATCATGGTTTTATTGTATTTTTTAATTTAATTTTTTGAGTTTCCTATCAAGGTCTTAGCCTTTCTTTAAATATGGTCATGTGAAAAATTTGCGATATTCAATATATTAGAGGACCATAACCTTTTCATATCATGTTAACCTAAAAAGATTCTAATCATTTCATAATGGGTCAACATTGACATCCGTTCATTTAAACTTATATCACATAATTTAATTAGCTCACTTGATTTGACCCCTTAAAATACATCTTATGATAAATAGTCAATATAATTATTTACTATAATATTGACCTATAATAATTATTGAAGGATAACATTTCCATATTTGTATATTTAAAAATAATTATTTATATAAATTTTAAATATAATTTATGTATATAAATATAATATTTATTTGTATATGTAATTTTTTATAAACTTTAATTATATGTAATAAGTATTTTGTCCGCATAATTTACATCTTAAAATATTAGTTATATAAATAATATAATTCTTTTTGTTGATGTAGGAATTTTTATGCCTTTTTTTTCTTCCCCTTTTAGATTCAGAAAAATCGAGTATCTTGGTTGCCTTGTAAGTTTGTTGTTTGGATTGATCGTTCGTTTTGTAAATTATTTAGGTACCCAAACATATTTGTTGGTAAAGTTGGTACTTCCAAATATTTCACGCCAGATCCGGTTTCGTAAGTTAGCTGTTGGATGAATCGTGTTTAGAATACCAATTTAATAATTTTAAATATAAAAAAATTATATATATTTTTAATCTTTTAAATTTAAAATAAGTTTATTTTTAATTATTTAAATTTAAAATCTATCTTTTTTAATATTTATAATTTAACAAAAAAATAATTTAATTCATATAATCAAATTTCGTTAATAAATATGTGAATTACTCTCTCAATCAAGAATTATAGATGAAAAGGAAACCTCAACGTAAGGGTTTTCAATCCCAAGAAATCAGTCAACGATGGAGTAGCTAAAACCTAAAACTAGATTCAGAAAAAGTAAAATTAAAAAGATATATTGACGAATAATTAGTATGTATTTGGGCAAAAGAAAATCCGTCCATGAAATAACCATACATAAAAAGATGGAGATTTTGCACCTGCTTCTGCTTTTTCATGATTAAAACCCATTACATGAAGAAAAAGTTTAATACCTAACGCTTTAAAATAAACAACTATAATTGTACGGAGGTTCTCTTTCTTAAAAAGTATATTAATTTATATAAAGGTTT